CCATTCCCTGCTCTCTCCGTGCCCATCCCCGCTCTCCTGCCCCTCCATCCCCCGATGACATCAGGTCCCGTTGCCATGGCGATGCCGCTCTCCCGGCACAGGCTCAGGTGGGGATCCAGAGCCCGGGAATCCTTTGGAAAGGAGGATGATGCCCCCACTGCTCCTCTTCACCCACCTTTCCCCGGCGAGGAGGGCACAGGATCCCTTTGGGATCGCTTTGGGAACATTTTGGGMTCAGACCTGGTGTCCTCACCCCAGTTTGGTGCTGTGGGGTGCTGCGGATCCCTGGGATGAGGGGAAGGAGTGGGTGAGCGAGGCACGAGCTTCCAAAGGTCGCTGTTTTATGGGGAGTTCCACAGCACAGCCACACCTGGAACACCGGGATGGCTCCGTGCCGGGAAAAACCCGGACTGTGTCCCCTGCCCACTCTGGAATGTGTCAGCAACACCAAAACAAACACTCAAAATGCGGGAGAGGCCCCGAGGAACGGGAAGAGTTCTCATCCAGGGCAGTGGGATGCATTGGAGAGGTGGGAATTGCTCTGGGGGAATGGGAAAAGCCCTTCCCAGCCTTCCAGGTGTTGTCCCGCAGCAGGAAACACCTGCCCAGGAAAGRGGAGCACCTGCTTTTCCCCGCCAGCCATGGGAAGGAATCAGTCGTGCCCAACCCGGGCGATTCCTTGGATGATTCTGGAGAAAAAAATAAATAAATAAATAAATTATATGGAAAATGATTCCCAGCCTCAGCTGCACTGGTGACGCCGGGATCTGGGCTGGGCTCCAGGCGGGAGCGGGAWGGGATCCATATCCTGGGGGGCTGAGCCAGGGGGCTGTGAGCAGATCTGGGGGACAACAACCCCCCATCCATGTCTAAAATCCCAGGCATGGTGTGTGATCCCTGTGTTTCCACAAGGAATCATTGGGATTTCTGTCTCCCGTCCCTTTTCCTGCCCTGCTCCCTCCCCATCATTCCTGGGGCTGGTATGAACATCCCYGTGTGGATGTCACGAGTTTTGGGAGCCTCAAATCCCACACAGCTCCATCCTGGGATGCTGCTCCAGGTTCCGATTCCATGCAGGATCCAAGAGCCACCCACAGCCCAAAGCCCTCACCTAAAACTGGTGAGGGACAAGAAATTCTGGGACTGAATTCCCGGATTCTTCATCTTTTTAGGACGCTGCCTCATGCCACGTCCATGTGCTCCTTCACACACCGTGTGGATTCCAGACTCCTCGCTTCCTTCTCCTCCCTCTTGAAACCTCATTAAAATAATATTTTGGGGGTGATCCGAGCGATTTTCCCCCACCTGMTCCATTCTAAAGGGACTGGACTGGMGACACCCAGCATCATTCCCAAAATTCCCGACTCTCCCACCTCCTCAGCCGCTGGCAGAGTCTCTCCGAGTCCAATCAGCCCCTCATCAAGTGATGAGCTGCAGTCCAATGTATTCTACAGGCACTTCACATTTAAATTACCTGAGAAATTTCCGAGCGGAAAAAAA